TAAGATCTACATCCAGAGTTGACCCACAAGGATAGGCAAAAGAAACCCCCATAGCAGCAGCACGATCCGCTTATGCTCCTGCAAAGGGAAAAATGTCCTTCCTGATTCCCCCGAGGAGGCGAATCGGATTCATATTCCCTGGATCACCTTTCCTTTATAAATGTTTATATCCCCGCTAGTTAGTTATAACTGTGTAGGGTCAAGAAAAAAGTCCAGGGACTTCCGTACAGCCATCATCCATGTTTTAGCTGGTATCACAACCAACTTGGAGGGAGGTCTATTCCACAAGAGCATATCTCACAGCTCTTACTGTGAGGAAATCCTTTCCGTGTTTGGAGATGACATTTCTTTTCCTCCAGCACGTATTATTAACATAGCGCTCCCCCTTGTCCTCTGTGATGACCTCACATGGGGGTCATAAACTACACCCCTTAGTTCACTATATCCTTACCCCTGATGTATTTATAACATGGAGATTCATATCCCCCCCTTATTATTATACATGGAGAATCATATCCCCCCCCCTTATGTATTATACATGGAGGATCATAAATCCCCCTTATGTATTATACATGGCGATCATATCCCTCCCCTTATGTATTATACATGGAGATTTTCATTATCCCCCCTTATGTATCATAACATGGAGATCATATCCCCCCTTATGTATTATACATGGATCATCAGATCCCCCCTTAGAGAGAGATTATACATGGAGATCATATCCCCCCTTATGTATTATACATGGAATCATATCCCCCCTTATGTATTATACATGGAGATCATATCCCCCCTTTATGTATTATAATGGAGATCATATCCCCCCCTTATGTATTATACAATGGAGATCACATCCCCAACTTTATGTATTATACATGGTAGATCATTATCCCCCCCTTAATGTATTATACATGGAGATCATATCCCCCCCCCCTTATGAGAAATGAATTATCCACCCATTATGGTGATTAAGCATATCCCCCCTTATGTATTATACATGGAGATCTATATCCCCCTTATGTATTATACATGGTGATCATATCCCCCTCGTCCTTATTATTATACATGGAGATTCATATCCCCCTTATGAATTATTAATCATGATGAGATCATATCCCCCCTTATGATATTATACATGCTAGATTCATATCCCCCCCTTATGTATTAAATACATGGAGATCATATCCCCCCTTATGTATTTATACATGAGATCATTCCCCCTTATTATGTATATTATACATGGTGGATCATATCCCCCCCATATGTATTATACATTGTATACACCCCCTATGGAGTTCATATCCCCCCTTATGTATTATACAATGGAGATCATAATCCCCCCTTATATAAATATATGTATTATCCCCCCTTAAGCATTATACATGGTGATCATATCCCCCCGTTATGTATCATGGATATACATGGTGATCATGGAGATCCCCCCCCCTTATGTATTAAACATGGAGATCATATCCCCCCTTAGTATTATACATGGAGGATCATATCGCCCACATCATGGAGATTCCGCGCCACGTCCGGCCCGTCCATTCACTCACAGTCCTTTGTGAATGATGGGGCACAGGTAGGTATAACCGCGTTTATAAGCGTTTGGAAAATCGTCTTAACTCTTCCATTTCCAGATGCTGTCCAAACCTTTTTTCATCATGAAAAATGCAAGCAAAGACAGCATTTTCCCGGGACTCAAATGGATCCGGATACAACCATACTTTGAGGTTTCGCATGAAAGAAAATATGGGAGATCATATCCCCCCCTTATTATTATAATGGAGATCATATCCCCCCCATATGTATTATACATCAGTATCCCCCCCTTATTATTATAACATGGAGATCATATCCCCCCTTATGTATTATACATAGAGATCATATACCCCCCTCTATGTATTATACATGGTGAGATCATATCCCCCCCTTAATGTTATTATACGCATGGAGAATCTATCCCTCCTTATTGTATTATACATGGAGAATCATAGCCCCCCTTATGTAGTAATACATGGATATCACCATCCCCCCTTAATGTATTATACATGGAGAATCATATCCCCCCCTTATGTATTATACATGGAGATCATATCCCCCCTTATGTATTATAACATGGAGAACAATATACCCACCTTATGGTATTATACGCGGTGATCATATCCCCCCTTATGTATTATAGCATGGAAGATCATTATCCACGCCTTATGTTATAATACATGGTGGAATCATATCCACCCCCTAATTGTATTATACATGGAGATCATATCCCCCCTTATGTATTTATATCATGGGGAGATCATATCCCCTCTCTATATGTATTATACATGGAGATCATATCCCCCTTATGTATTAGACACGGATAGATCATATCCCCCCGATATGTTATTATACACGGGAGATCTTATCCCCTCTTATAGTATTATATCATGGTGATCATATCCCCCCCTTATGTAATTATAACACGGAGATCATATCCCCCTTATGTATTTATACATGGAGATCATATCCCCCCTTATGTATATACATGGAGATCATATCCCCCCCTTATGTAGTTTTATACATGGAGATCATAACATAGAAAAACATCTACTCCCTTATACCTCGTATTTATATAACATGGAGATCATATCCCCCCTTATGTATTATAACATGTGATCATATCCCCCTTATGTATTATACATGGTGATCATATCCCCCCCTTATGTATTTTACATGGTGATCATATCCCCCCTTATGTTATTATACATGGAGATCATATCCCCCTTATGTATTATACATGGAGATCATATCCCCCCTTATGTATTATATACAATGAGATCATATTTTTCCCCCATTATGTATTATACATGGAGATCATATCCCCCCCCTTATGTATTATACATGGAGATCATATCCCCCCTTGATGTATTATACATGCGGAGATCATATTCCCCCTTATGTATTATACACGGAGATCATATCCCCCCTTATGTATTATACACGGAGATCATTATCCCCCCTTATGTATTATACACGGAGATCATATCCTCCCTTATGTATTATACACGGAGATCCATATCCCCCTTATGTATTATACACGGAGATCATATCCCCCCGTATGGTATTATACACGGAGATCCATATCCCCCTTATGTATTATACACGGAGATCATATCCCCCCTTATGTATTTATACATGGAGATCATATCCCCCCTATGTATTAATACATGGTGATCATATCCCCCCCCTTATGTATTATACACGGTGATCATATCCCCCCCCTTATGTATAATACACGATGGTTGATCAATATCCCCCCCTTGTTATGTTTATTACATGGAGATCATATCCCCCCCGTTATGGTATTATACATGAGAATCATATCCCCCTTATGTATTAATACATGGAGATTCATATCCCCCATTATGTATATATACACATTGAGATCATAATCCCCCCTTATGTATTATAGCATGGAGATCATATCCCCCTTATGTATTATACACTGGAGATCATATCCCCCTTATGTATTTTATTACATGAGATCATATCCCCCTTATGTATTATACATGGAGATCATATCCCCCCCTTATGTATTATACATGGAGATCATAATCCCCCCCTTATGTATTATTAACATGGAGATCATATCCCCCCTTATGTATTATACATGGAGATCATATCCCCCCCTTATGTATTATACATGGAGATCATATCCCCCCTTATGTATTATACATGGAGATCATATCCCCCCCTTATGTATTATACATGGAGATCATATCCCCCCCTTATGTATTTATACATGGAGATCATTATCCCCCTTATGTATTATACAATGGAGATCATATCCCCCCCTTATTATACATGGGTGATCAGATCCCCCTTATGTATTATAAACATGGAGATCATATCCCCCCTTATGTATTATAACATGGAGAATCATATCCCCCTTAATGTATTATACATGGAGATCATATCCCCCCCGTTAATGTATTATACATGGAGAATCATATCCCCCCAATTATTATTATACATTGAAGCATATCCTCCCTTAATGTATTATACATGAGATCATATCCCCCCCTTATGTATTATACATGGAGATCATATCCCCCCCTTATGTATTATACATGGTGATCATATCCCCCCTTATGATTAAATACACAGAGATGATATCCCCCCCTTATGTATTATACATGGAGAATGATATCCCCCCTTATGTATTATACAGGAAGAAACACAAAAAACAATGTGTCAGTCTCCCTAGGTCTGGTGCACCATGCAAGATCTCACCTTCGTGGGAGGTGTCAATGATCATGAGAACAGTGAGGAATCATCCCAGAACTACATGTGAGGATCTTGTCAATGATCTCCAGGCAGCTGGGACCACAGTCACCAAGAAAACAATTAGTAACACACTACGCCGACAAGGACTGAAATCCTGCAGTGCCCGCAAGGTCCCTCTGCTCAGGCAAAGCCCATGTCCAGGCCCGTCTGAATCAGCAGAGGATCAAATACTTATTTCCTTCACTGTATGTCACCAAATTTCCGGGGATTTTTTAATTTACAACTTCTCATTTGCAGCAGATTATATTATCTAAAGGCTCCGTACATCTTAAATAATTAAAAGTAAATGCAGTTGAGGCAGAAGATCTTCTGTTATTACCGAGCACAGAGAATAAGAAATAAAGATGAAATAATAACGCGCCTACAAGCGAGCATATGTGACTTTGCCTCATCCCTCAGAAGAACAAGGGAGAGACGATAAAAGGAATAATGTATCCCCAACACCTGAACAGAGGACTGCCTGTCCCACGTAGAAGGTTCCTCTGAATTCATTACGGAAGATCAGCCGCAAAAGGCAGAATAGTTCAATAGTGAAGTCTCATGATTCAGACAGATTACAAACTTTACAATCTGCAGCAATGATCCACTATATTGCCAGAGATTTGGGCCTCCCCTCCCAGTCATGTGATTCAGGTGTTCCAATCCCCTCCCAGTCATGTGATTCAGGAGTTCCAATCCCCTCCATATCATGCGATTCAGGTGTTTCCAATCCCCTCCCAATCATGTGATTCAGGTGTTCCAATCCCCTCCCAATCATGTGATTCAGGTGCTCCAATCCCCTCCCAATCATGTGATTCAGGTGGTGTTCCAATCCCCTCCCAATCATGTGATTCAGGTGCTCCAATCCCCCTCCCAATCATGTGATTCAGGTGTTCCAATCCCCTCCCAATCATGTGATTCAGGTGTTCCAATCCCCTCCCAATCATGTGATTCAGGTGTTCCAATCCCCTCCCAATCATGTGATTCAGGTGTTTCCAATCCCCTCCCAGTCATGTGATTCAGGTGTTCCAATCCCCTCCATATCATGTGATTCAGGTGTTCCAATCCCCTCCATGGACACAGGTGTATACAATCAAGCCCCTAGGCATGCAGACGGCTTCTACAAACATTTTTGAAAAATGTGTTGCTCTCAGGAGCTCAGTGACTCCAAGCGTGGTCCCGTGATAGGTGGCCACCTGGGCAATAAGTCCATCCGTGACATTTCCTGGCTACTAAATATTCCACGCTCAACTGTTAGTGGGATTATAACAAAGTGGAAGCAACTGGGAACAACAGCCACTCAGCCACCAAGTGGTAGGCCACGTCACATGACAGGGCGGGGTCAGCGCATGCTGAAGCGCACAGTGCGCAGAAGTCGCCAACTGTCTGCAGAGTCAATAGCTAAAGACCTCCAAACTTGGTGTGGCCTTCAGATGAGCCCAACAACAGTGCGTAGAGAGCTTCATGGAATGGGTTTCCATGGCCGAGCAGCTGCATCCAAGCCTTCCATCACCAAGTGCAATGCAAAGCGTCGGATGGTGTGGTGTGTAAAGCACGCCGCCACTGGACTGTAGAGCAAGGGAGATGTGTTCTCTGGAGGGACCAATCACACTTTCTGTCTGGCAATCCGATGGGCGTGTCTGAGTTTGGCGGTTGCCAGGAGAAACGGTACTTGCCTGACTGCATTGTGCCAAGTGTAAAGTATGGTGGAGGGGGGATTATGGTGTGGGGTTGTTTTTCAAGGGGCGGGCTTAGCCCCCTAGTTCCAGTGAAGGGAACTCTTAAGGCGACATTTTGGACAATTTCATGCTCCCAACTTTGTGGGAGGAGTTTGGGGATGGCCCCTTCCTGTTCCAACATGACTGCACACCAGTGCACAAAGCAAGATCAATAAAGACATGGAGGAGCCAGTTTGGGGTGGAGGAACTTGACTGTCCTGCACAGAGTCCTGACCTCAACCCCATAGAACACCTTTGGGATGAATTAGAGTGGAGACTGTGAGCCAGGCCTCCTCCCCCGACATCAGTGCCTGACCTGACAAATGTGCTTCTGGAAGAATGGTCCAACCTTCCCATAGACACCCTCCTAAACCTTGTGGACGGCCTTCCCAGAAGAGTTGAAGCTGTTATAGCTGCAAAGGGCGGGGCCAACTCAATATTGATCCCTACGGACTAAGACTGGGGGGCCATTAAAGGTCATGTGTGTGGAAAGGGCGGGGCCAACTCAATATTGAACCCTACGGACTAAGACTGGGGGGCCATTAAAGGTCATGTGTGTGGAAAGGGGGGGCCAACTCAATATTGAACCCTACGGACTAAGACGGGGGGCCATTAAAGGTCATGTGCGTGGAAAGGCCGGCAGCCCAATATTTGGGGCAATATAGTGTATATATGGGGGGTGGGGACAATACTTGGGGTGATATAGTATATATTATATAGATTCATTACACACAGAGTGATATACTTCAAGCATTTCCTTCTTGTAGATCATCATTTTGATGATTATGGGTTACAGCTGGTGAAAACCCAAAACTCAGTATCTCAGAAAATTTGAATATTGTTAAAACGTTCAATATTGTAGACTTATGGTGTCACGATCAGATAATTAACTCAAAACACCTCTAAAGATTTCCTGAGCCTCTGTCTGGTTCAGTAGGTTACATGATCATGGGGAAGACTGCTGATCTGACAGTTCTCCAAAAGACAGTCATTGACACCCTCCACAAGGACGTCATTGCTAAAGAAGCTGGCTGTTCACAGAGTGCTGTATCCAATCATATTAATGGAAAGTTGAGTGGAAGGAAAAAGTGTGGCAGAAAAAGGTGCGCAAGCAGCAGGGATAACCGCAACCTGGAGAGGATTGGGAAGCAAAGGCCATTCAAGAACTTGGGGGAGATTCACAAGGAGTGGACTACAGCTGGTGTCAGTGCTTCAAGAGCCACCAACACACAGACGTATCCAGGACATGAGCTACAACTGTCACCATCCTTGTGTCAAGCCGCTCCTGAACCAGAGACAACGTCAGGAGCATCTTACCTGGGATAAGGAGAAAAAGGACAGGACTGCTGCTCAGTGGTCTAAAGTGAAGGTAAATTTTGCATTTCATTTGGAAATCAAGGTCCCAGAGTCTGAAGGACGAGTCTAGAGGAAGAGTCTGGAGGAAGAGTCTGGAGGACGAGTCTGGAGGAAGACGAGGACGAGTCTGGAGGACGAGTGGAGAGGCACGGAATCTAAGTTGCATGAAGTCCAGTGTGAAGATTCCACAGTCAGTGGTGATTTAGGGTGCCGTGTCATCTTCTGGTGTTGGTTTACTGGGTTTTAAGTACAAAGTCAGTGCAGCCGTCTAGCAGGAAATTCTAGAGCACTTCATGCTTCCCTCTGCTGACCAGCTCTGTGGCGATGCGGACTTCATTTTCCAGCAAGACTTAGCACCCGCCCGCACTGCCGAAAGTACCAATACCTGGTTTAATGATCATGGTGTCACTGTGGTGTCACTGTGCTTGACAACAAACTCTCCTGACCTAAACCCCATGGAGAATCTGTGGGGTATTGTCAAGAGGAAGATGAGAGACACCAGACCCAACAATGCAGATGAGATGAGGGCCGCTACCAAAGCAACCTGGGCTTCCATAAAACCTCAGCAGTGTCACAGGCTGATCGCCTCCATGCCACGCATCCCAATGTGAGTAATTATTACAAATGAGTAGAGCTCCACTTTAATGGCCAAAGCAAACTCACCCATCCATCCATATCTCCATCCATCTCCATCCATCCCTCCATATCTCCATCCATCCATGTCTTCATTCATCTACCCCTCCACATCTCCATCCATCTATCCCTCCACATCTCCATCCATCCATCCCTCCACATCTCCATTCATCCCTCCATGTCTCCATCCAACCATCCCTCCATGTCTCCATCCATCCCTCCACATCTCCATCCATCCATCCACCCCTCCATGTCTCCATCCAACCATCCTTCCACATCTCCATTCATCTATCCCTCCACTACTCCATCCATCCATCCCTTCACATCTCCATTCATCTATCCCTCCACGTCTCCATCCATCCATCCCTCCACATCTCCATTCATCTATCCCTCCACGTCTCCATCCATCCATCCCTCCACATCTCCATTCATCTATCCCTCCACATCTCCATCCATCCATCCCTCCACGTCTCCATCATCCCTCCATCCATCCATCCGTCCCTCCACGTCTCCATCCAACCATCCCTCCACGTCCCATCCAACCATCCCTCCACGTCCATCCAACCATCCCTCCACGTCTCCATCCATCCCTCCACGTTTCCATCCATCTATCCCTCCATGTCTCCATCCACATCTCCATCCATCTATCCCTCCATATCTCCATCCAACCCTCCACGTCATCCATCTATCCCTCCACGTCTCCATCCATCTATCCCTCCACGTCTCTATCCATCCCTCCACCTCTCTATCCATCCATGTCTCCATCCATCTATCAGTCCACGTCTCCACCCATTCATCCCTCCATGTCTCCATCCATCCACGTCCCTATGTTTTATTTTGTTGAGAAATCACTTTGAACCCCCCCTTAGCTCAGGCATGCTGCCCTTAGCTCAGGCATGCAGACAAGAGAATGTGATTAGCTGTGGAAGCCTCTCCTATGGGAATAGTGTCTCATCATTGGTGCCAGTGGGAGGAATAGTGCCCCATCACTGATGTCAGTGGAAGGAATAGTGCCCCATCGTTGGTGTCAATGGGAGGAATAGTGCCCCATCGTTGGTGTCAGTGGGAGGAATAGTGTCCCATCATTGGTGTCAGTGGGAGGAATAGTGCCCCATCATTGGTGTCAGTGGGAGGAATAGTGCCCCATCATTGGTGTCAGTGGGAGGAATAGTGACCCATCATTGGTGACAGTGGGAGGAATAGTGCCCCATCATTGGTATCAGTGGGTGGAATAGTGCCCCATCATTGGTGTCAGTGGAAGGAATAGTGCCCCATCCTTGGTGTCAGTGGGAGGAATAGTGCCCCATCATGATGTCAGTGGGAGGAATAGTGCCCCATCATTGGTATCAGTGGGAGAAATAGTGCCCCATCATTGGTGTCAGTGGGAGGAATAGTGCCCCATCATTGGTGTCAGTGGGAGGAATAGTGCCCCATCGTTGGTGTCAGTGGGAGGAATAGTGCCCCATCATTGGTATCAGTGGGAGGAATAGTGCCCCATCATTGGTATCATTGGTAATAGTGCCCCATCATTGGTGTCAGTGGAAGGAATAGTGCCCCATCCTTGGTGTCAGTGGAGGAATAGTGCCCCATCATTGGTGTCAGTGGGAGGAATAGTGCCCCATCATTGGTATCAGTGGGAGGAATAGCGCCCCATCATTGGTATCAGTTGGGTGGGAGGAATAGTGCCCCATCGTTGGTATCAGTGGGAGGAATAGTGCCCCATCATTGGTGTCAGTGGGAGGAATAGTGCCCCATCGTTGGTGTCAGTGGGAGGAATAGTGCCCCATCGTTGGTGTCAGTGGGAGGAATAGTGCCCCATCGTTGGTATCAGTGGGAGGATAAGTGCCCCATCATTGGTGTCAGTTGGAGGAATAGTGCCCCCCATCATTGCTATCAGTGAGAGGAATAGTGTCCCATCGTTGGTGTCAGTTGGAGGAATAGTGCCCCATCGTTGGTGTCAGTGGGAGGAATAGTGCCCCATCATTGGTATCAGTGGAGGAATAGTGCCCCATCATTGGTGTCAGTGGGAGGAATAGTGCCCCATCATTGGTGTCAGTGGGAGGAATAGTGCCCCATCATGGGAGGAATAGTGCCCCATCATTGGTGTCAGTGGGAGGAATAGTGCCCCATCATTGGTGTCAGTGGGAGGAATAGTGCCCCATCATTGGTGTCAGTGGGAGGAATAGTGCCCCATCATTGGTGTCAGTGGAATGAATTCTGTCCCATCATTGGTGTCAATTAGATAAAGGCAAGCCAAGGGCCCCATCCAGCCTCAGGACAATATACGGAGACGACTGATCTTAACCAACCTTACAATTATAAAGGAAGCAGTCTGAAATACAATGTGTTTCCATGGAGCCCCTTATTGCCCCTCAATTATACCTAATCAGCCCTAACTAATGTATTTCTTCTTCGCCCCTCAACTATCTTCTCTGCTGAGTTTTACTATTTAAACTTTTTTTGTTTTTTATTTACATTTTTAGTGTTTGTATGTAGATGGGAACGCTCTGTGTCCGCGGTGGGATGGGAGCGCTCTGTGTCTGCAGTGAGATGGGAGCGCTCTGTGTCTGCAGTGAGATGGGAGCGCTCTGTGTCTGCAGTGGGATGGGAACGCTCTGTGTCTGCAGTGGGATGGGAGCGCTCTGTGTCCGCGGTGAGATGGGAACGCTCTGCGTCCGCAATGAGATGGGAACGCTCTTTGTCGGCAGTGGGATGGGAACGCTCTGCGTCTACGGGGAGATGGGAACGCTCTGTGTCCGCGGTGAGATGGGAGTGCTCTGCGTCTGCAGTGGGAT